CTTAAGAGGACTGATGAAGGGAAGAATGAATGGACCTTTCTGGGGTGCAGAGTGAAGATCGAAGGATGTGGGGTGGTATGTTGGTACAGGCCAAAAAACTTTGATGAAATTTGGAGTTCAGAAGGTCGATTCAGCTATAAAAATTTTCAAGACTTTTGCAGCTACACAAGCAAAAGACAGAAAATGGCTCTTGTTAATGGCATGATCCACAGGATAAGGGACTGTTCCATGTCCCTGACTGGTGCTGAAGAGAGTTTGCTCACGCTGAAACGCGAGCTGAGAAGGCAGGATTTCCCTGCGGATCTATTTGACCAGACCTTATGGAAATTCGTAAGGAAGAAGGCACCAGATTGGGCCAAGCTGGCCAGGAGGGTGACTTGGGAGATTAGTTGATACGGTACCAGGGGTGACTTGGGTAAGGTTTCCGGGGGTTTTATTTAGCTGAGGGTCTGTCGGGGTGAATGGGACTAGCCGGGAGAATAGGCCTTATGCTAGGTCAGATTTGTTTTCTTTCTTTGTTTGTTTGTGGTATGATTTATCTGCTTGTCGGAACCTGTAGGGTGAAGTAGGGTCTGGTTGGACAAGGGGTTAGCCTAGTGCGTGGGTTGAGGTTTGCTAATTTTGTTTTGAATGCCGATCGGACTATTAATATCAGACGACCGTCTTGATAGGTCTTTCAGTTCGAGATGCGCCCCCTTATGAGGCTGGATCTGGCTCCAGTCGAAATGCGTCGGGGATTGCCAAATACGCAGACGAAAGTCTCGCATGCTGTGCCTGAGTTATATCGTCATTTTCTATGCACTATGCGTTTCGTGTTTTTCAATTGACTACATCTATTTGGTTTACGTTGTGTAAACTGTCGCGCTGCGTGGTGTTCATGTCATGCATCGTCTTTATCCAAACCTCCATCTTTGGAGAATTTTCATTTTGTTTTGGCTTAGTCAAATTCTGTGAAAATTCATATATGTGTATCTCACGGGATACACAACTCATTAAAAAAATATTAAAAAAAATAAAATTGTTTAGGCCCCGAAACAAAGTGAAAACAAAAGGAGAAAAGAAAAACAAAACAAAATAGTGAGTGGGTGAACACGTTTTGACTCCACCATCTTTGACGATGTTTCTTTTTTTTTTTTGGCTAAGCAAAATGATCTCACAATTTAAAGGCATGTACCTCACATCATAGACAACTCACAAAAAAAAAAATCAAGAAACAACAATAATGTTTAGGCCCCGAAATATTTTTGGGCGGGGTCCGAACCTCTTCAGGTTTGGAGGGGTTCGGCCCCCGAACGCCCGAACGTACGGAGGTTGGCCCAAGGGCCTCCGTACGTACGGGTTGGTAACCATGAAAATAACTATCATATTCACTATGACAGAGTCAAATAAACGGGAGATGGGGGGTTTCATACTGCCATATATTACCACAGTGGAAATTAGTCAGAATCACTTCTCAAATAACCATTAGACAAATTGTGTAAATAAAAAACGTTGTCAAACGACGGATTGTACAATCACAAGGTCATCAACCGAATAGCTATACGAGAACTTACAAACGTGACCCAATAAATTAGACATTGAACATGTGATGATGCAAATTCATCAATCATGATATGTGAACAAGTTTTATTTTACTTATTTTTTTAATATTAAAAAAATAATTTCAATAGATCGCAACCATTTTCTTGCTAAATACATGCAACCAGGGTTACCAGCCTGTACGTACGAAGGCCCCCGGACAGACCTTCGTACGTTCGGGCATTCAGGGTCTGAAGCTGAATGGGTTCGCCCTCCACCAAAAATTATTTTGACCGTTTTTTTGTTCACTGTGATGTGAGGTACATGCTTATAAATTTTGAAGTCATTTTGCTTAGCCAAAACAAATATAAAAAATTTTCGAAGATGAAGGTGTCAAAACGTGCTCGTACACTCAATTTTTTTTTTTCTTCATTTTTTACTTTTTGTTTTCACTTTATTTTAGGGCCTAAACAATTTTATTATTTTTTTTAACTTTTTTTCATGGGTTTTGTGTTATATGAAGTACACATTTGTAAATGTTTAGGACATTTGGCTATGAAAACAAATAAAAACAATTCAATGATGGCGGTGTCAAAAACAGACTTTCGCTCTTACTACTTTAATTCTTCAATTTCTCTTTCTATTTTTTCTTATGTTTTTTTTAAAATCTTATTAGCATTTAAAATTTTCGAATTTAATTTTATCAAATTTGATAAGGAATTTAGATGTAATGCTCAAGCAAATGTTGTTTATTTTATTTTTATACATAACATATGTTTTTTTCCAGATGTTTCCCAAACGCATCACTAAGGTATCCCATGCGTTCGCGTTCAGACGTTCAGGCCGTCTCGAACGCCGACCATCCTGCATCCAACCAATGACAAATTATGAAATCTTATAAATCATTAACATCATTATATGACGGATGCATGTAATAACAAACTAAAAGAAAAAATCATATAAACAATAACAGTAGAAGAGTCACAAAAATAAAGATATAAAAAATAAAATATAAGGGGAAAAAAAAGATAAAATTAACTTAAAAAAAAAAAAACCTAAGCTATCAGAGTGGCCTGGGATCACTTGCCTGTCTGGGCAAAAAAAAATTAATTAATAATAATAATTTTTATTTTTAATTTGATGAAGAATTCTGATGTGACCATGAAACAAAAGTTATTCAGTTTATTTTTTTAATAACACAATTTTTTTTTGATTTTTTTTTTTTTTTTTTTGACCTTCCGTGCTCCTTGCACGGGCTGGCCACCCGAGACCCGGATGGCCCGACTGGTAGCATAGGAAAAAACAGAAAAATAAAATAAGTAAAAAAAAGGCAAAAAGAAAAGAAAAAAAAAAGTTGAAAAACGCAATGAGTAAGGAGAAATATAAGTAAAGCAATGCACAAGAAAGTATGACGAATTCACATGTCAAGCTCCAACATGAAGACTCAATCCCAATTATGATAAACTATTGTGTGCTATTGCCACGAAAAAACTGATATTATGGTGTAATGAGTGCTATAACTAACCATGTAGCCCTACATGTCAACCACTCGTCTTATTAGGGGCTGAAAAACTCGACAGATTTGTTGTGTACAAACTGTAAAATGCGGGAATTCACCTAAGCAACAGCGTGGACTGTGATCGCTAACTAGCCCTGTGTGGTGAGACTTTCTTTTACCCTCGATAAAGTCAGTCTTTCCCCACAGACTTTTCCTTTGGATTGCAATCTCGGCGATAAGTTAGAGGTGAGAAAAGTTAATTTTCGTTCGTGGTGTCACATTTTTGGCATCAGGCGACCATGACGCAAAGTGGGTTCTTAGGGGGCAAAAACATTTGGGGGACCGGTCCTTGGCAAAATTCTGGACTACCTACAACTAGTTCTGGTAGAACCGGAACTTTTAAAAAAAGGAAGGACTGGTTCTCGGGTAGAAGCAGATCCCCAAAAGAAGTGAGGGCGAAGGGCCCTCAGGCCCAGGCGTTGAGGTCCGTCTTCTCAAAACAGGGAGGTCAGGAGCAACGAAACAGACATTTTGCAAAAGGCAACTTTGGCGATTTTTTGTGCTTTGGGGAATCCGCAGAAATTCATAGACGAGGTCGTGTTCTTTCCATAAAAAATATCAGAATATTTTTAAAACATCATTCAGACCACGAAATAATCGTCGCGCTGATTCGACGCATTTCTATTTTTGCCACTCAGCCATGTGTGGGCCAACTGAAAAAGTAGTTAAAATTCAGGGAGTTTTCACGCTCAAAAGAATGTGTGTAAAAACCTGAAAATTGGAGCCCTCGTAGATTTTGTTGTGATATTTCCAAGAAAAATACTAAATAAATTAAAAAAAACTATTCAACTGTGAAATAGATCACGGCCTTAATTTGACCCATATTTAAATTTTGCCATTTAGCCTCTCTCTCTCTCTCTCTCTCTCTCTCTCTCTCTCTCTCTCTATGGTACCCCCTCCCCCCCTCCCTTTCTCTCTTTCTTTCTCTCTCTCACTCTCTGTCTCTCTCTCTCACTCATATCAACAAATGAAACTCTCTCTCTCTTTCTCTCTCTCTCTCTCTGGTAGCCCCCCCCCTCCTTCTCTCTCTCTCTTTCTCTCTTTCTCTCTCTCACTCTCTGTCTCTCTCTCACCCACATAACAATAAATAGAACAAAACTCTCTCTCTCTCTCTCTCTCTCTCTCTCTCTCTCTCTCTCTCTCTCTCTCTCTCTCTCTCTCTCTCNCTCTCTCTCTGGTAGCCCCCCCCCCCTTCCCTCTCTCTCTCTCTCTCTCTCTCTCTCTCTCTCTTGTGCGCGCTCCTAGTCTCAGTGCTTTGGCTACCTTAGGGCTGCGTTCCCCGCGCCCATGCGGTAGACAATCTATATATATATCTTCATAAAGAACTGCTTGTGGTGGGCAGAGAGGGAGAAGTGGACAACAAACCAGAGGCTGTGATATGTATATATATGAACTCCGACAAAACAGTTTGTCACAGCCCCTCCTTTGTTGTCCTCTTCTCTCTCTCTGCCTCCGGTTTACCGGGCAGTTCTATTTGTGACGATATATATATATATATATACAGTTTGTCACAGCCCCTCGTTTGTTGTCCTCTTCTCTCTCTCTGCCTACTGTTTACGGGGCAGTTCTGTTTGTGACGATATATATATATATATATTCATAAGGAACTGGCTGGTGAACCCTGGTAAGCAGAGAGGGAGAGGAGAACAACAAACGAGAGGCTGTGACATCAAGCTTGGCCGTCCGCGGTTCGACGGGGCACGGCCCGGGTCGTTGCAAGAATGTAATAATGTATGTAACAATTATCGAATCGGGTCGTCGCGTCCTACCGAGTCGACGGCCTGGATCGTCGCAGGATCTTAAGATTTTAGGACCACCAAGCAATCCAGCCCGTCCGCCTGGTAGTACTACTGTAGGCAAACGGCCCAGTTGGGCCTAGAATACGCCTACCGTAGCGGTACCGATATGTCCTGGCGCGGTGCACGGGTGGATGGGCGCGTGGGTTGGCGCGGTGCACGGGTGGATGGGTGCGTGGGCTGGCGCGGTGCACGGGTGCACGGGTGGATGGTGCGTGGGTGCGGGTGTGGGCGTTCGCGGGGGTGTGGGTGTGCGTGTTCGCGGGTGTGGGTGTGCGTGTTCGCGGGTGTGGGTGTGCGTGTTCGCGGGTGTGGGTGTGCGTGCGTCTGCGTGTATGCGTGTGGCTGTGGGGAGGGGCCGTGCTTGCCACACACACACACACACACACACACACACAGAGAGAGAGAGAGAGAGAGAGAGAGAGAGAGAGAGAGAGAGAGACGCGGGGAAACATGAGCAGTGTGCTGCTGTAGATTGATTTTGGAAGCTGCCATGATCCGAACTTTCCTTTTTTGGTCGTCGGAGCGGTGAACCACTCCGCGCGCGAAAGAGGTAAGGCGCGATCTTATCCTTTGTCCTCCTCTTCTTCCTCCTCCCTCTTTTGCCCTCGACTCTCCATCTTGCGACGTCCTGTGGCAATATCCGTCTGCACCTGCTTTGCCCATCTCTCTTCCCCATGGCGACCTAAGCTCCCGCTTCTTAGCTCGCGTCCTTGCAACTCCACCCCCTACTCTGCCTGCGTCCATTTCCTTCGATCTCTCTCAATAACGTCCTTGGTTCAGTCCAGACGACAAGCTTATGCCAATTTTGTTGATTTTTATGTCACACACACGCACAGAGGGAGGGAGGGATAGAGCAGGAGCGAGCGAGCGAGCGAGCGAGAGAGAGAGAGAGAGAGAGAGAGAGAGAGAGAGAGAGAGAGAGAGAGAGAGAGAGAGAGAGAGAGAGAG